TATTCGAGGCACAATTGATTTGAGTAATCTGCATCGAATTCAGGGTAACTTAAGTGTCCACCTTCATTGTGTGTACTTGGTGAGAATATGTGAGAATATCCTGTCACCTGATGTTAATTTTCTTGCAGCTGATAATCTTTTTTTATTTTTTTTTCACATAGATAATCTTTTTTTTAATTTTTTAATACAAAAATATTGACTTACCTATGAAAGTAATAATTGTGCTTTGGATTTTTTTCACAGCTTTCTTGCTACATTCATATGCAGAATAAAATACTTTTTATGTATTTTGTATAGCTTGTAATGTTAAAAGAGGAGTGGGGTTGTTTGGAATGAAAGTTGCCTCACTTTTCTGTGCTCATGCTCTCTCTAGTCAACTCTATGCTCTCACTACACCTGTCTATTAGCAGGTTTCCCGCCCTCTCCATTGTCATCAGCTGACCACCGTGTACATTCTGATTTTAATTTTTAAAATGTGTATGTCACAATATATATTTATATGCTGTATTTGAGGCCCCTATAATTATAAGAAATGCAAAAAATTCACTGTTAATAACTTATTCTCAAATTGCCCCCCTTAAAATCAAGTTGCCCCCCTGTGGGACGTGTTCCCCCTGTTGGGAACCATGGGTCTAGGGAGCTTTATTGATAGTAGCAATGGTTTAAATGACTCATGCTACATAAATTCAAGGAGCAGATATGTGAGGAATCAATTATGATTAAAAAGTAACTTTCCAGGAACAGGATGATTAGAAATTGCCTAATGAATATATTCAGCCCTCAATGGCCTTTCTATACTGATGATTAGTACACCAGAAAATGTGATAGGTAGAAAGTTAAAATACAATTTTATTGAAAAATCGGACCATGTCTACCATTTTGTGCCATTTCTAGTGTAAATACCTAATTGATTCAATATTTGCCATTGTCTAAGTGAAAAAAAGTAGATTCTTACTTCTCGTTAGCAACCATATAGGCTTACAGAGGTACTGTGTGAAAGGCAATAGACATAAAAAGTAAATCTCATTTAGTGATTATGTACTTAAAATTAAGAACATAAGTAAAGAGAAAATGTCAATATGAAAATATAAATATATGGATATATGTAATATATATATAGTAAATTTTTAATTAATAACGGGGTGGATTTTGGCAGACAACATTTCAGATGTTACTGGCTGGAAGTACTGAACCTGAAACTACTAAAATTTAAGTGACTCCTGAAGTTTATACAACTTTTTACTGGCAGACTGGGTTTTAAAATTCACTCCTTGATTCCATTAAGTCCTAGACCTTAATCCATTAAGCTATGCTACCTCCATTTAAAACCTATTACCAGATTTTTTACATGGTTAGAATTCAGTGTTTGGATTAAGTAAATCCAACACAACTGAAGAAGCATATTCCTGGAGAGATGCACACATATTAGCATATGGATTGCTATTCTTTTATCTTTACATAAGTTTTCAGTTTATCAACTTATAAGAGTCATATATAGCTCAGGATTTCTTTCTATAATTATTTCCTGAGTGACTGATATTAGTTTTGCAGGCTCTGTAAGCTGAACTGATATCTTTTAAATCAGTGTTTGATAAAGGAAGTTGGTTAATAAGGCATGGATCATTTTAATTGCAGACTCATCCTAATTTATACTAATGATTAACAGAACTCAAATAAGAGTCTGTGAATTGAAAAGTGAAATGGCTTGATTAAACACAATGAATTTTTATGTATTTTGGAACCACACAAAGAGAATAATAATTTTGATGTTTTCTATCTCTGATAGAAAATCATCAATATAGAAAACAGAGAATTGCTTATAAATAGCTTATGTGAATGAGAGGATTTTCAGACTCATAATAAATCATGTCCTATTTCAGTAAACTCTACAGGAGTTTGGCTGTGGTCCTTACACTACAATTTTGATTAAATATTTTCTGAAATAAAGGGCAATTATTTGGGCATCCTTGTTGTATGGAAAATTTTATTGAAACAGTTTCTGTCATAATAGGATTTGACTATAGATGAATTTCAGTTTAGTTACTATCTTTGGGAATTGGCACATAATATTCCTGCTAAGATTTCTCTTATATTAGAAATATCAAGAGCCATGAGTTTAAAGGGAGCCTGAGGCTTCAAAGTATTTCCTGAGAATTATCTTGTCACCACAGGCACTTAAGAAGAGCAGCACAGCTCTTCTTTTGAAGCATTTGGAGAGTGGTGGAAAAACCCATGTTCTGTATCCAAAAAACAAATGGATTGACTATATTGAGTGTTCCTGACCCCAAAGATATTTTTATGTTATGCACTGATGCTAGCTTTGTAATAGTGGTGTGTGTGTGTGTGTGGGGGGGGGGGTTATAGGCAACACACAAGGTGACTTTTGAGAATCTTTATTAATATGAGCCATCTGTTAACCAGGTAAGATATAATGCATGTAAAACATTACATTTTTACCATTGGCAATGCCAAATAAGAGCAAAAGGAGTGGAGAGGAAAGATACTTTAAAGTGTGAAGTGTGAAGCGATACAACCATTTATTAGTGTCCTTACAGTAATAAATTGGGTTCTATGAGGCTTTGCTAAGAAGGAGCTCTTGTAGTCTCTAATTATAGCATTTATTATCAGTCTTGGCTTAGCACAAAAATACTAAAGCTATGTTGCTTTGGAGTTAAACTGAGGTCTCTAATACCATCTCCAGCAAGTATGTGCAAGCTATTCAGGAGTGGAAAAGGGGGTGGAGTATTGTGGTATGGAAAGCCATGAATTAGTTAACCCTAAAGCCAACCCTATAGCCACAGATGGGAGAAGATGACCCATTGTGGGAAAAATTCAGAACTGCAAACCACAGTGTTTAGAAGTGAGTACTTTACTCATTCCAGGGGGAGGGACTAAAGGTGGTCAGTGCGCCTCATAGCAACTGGTCGAGCAGTCTTTCTGGTTGTTCCACCATTTGGTTAATTTGCACATTACTCTCTTATATATATAGATGTGCTCCAATCCTTCCACTGCCAGGGAAAGGGGCAAAGGAGGGTTGCTGAAAGTGATTGTTCCACCATTTGGTTAATTTGCACATTACTCTCGTATACATATAGATGTGCTCCAGTCCTTCCACTGCCAGGGAAAGGGGCAAAGAAGGGTTGCTGAAAGTGATAAGCGAGGCAGCAGGGTGACCTTTTTTTGAGGGGGCGGAGTTTCCTCCCGATGAGGGGCTTCAAAGGACAGCAGCCGGAGGCAGCAGGGTGACCTTTTTTGGGGGGGCGGAGAGTTTCCTCCCGATGAGGGGCTTCAAAGGACAGCAGCCTACTTCTGCTACCCTCCGTCTCCAGAGACACAATTTCTGATTGGCATACGGCAGGACAGAGCAGTTGCAGGTACAGGACTGGGAGTCCTTTCTGCATGCAGCTCCCTGGAGAGTTTCTCCGGGCCAAGAAAAGCTTTGTTCTAATCCTTTCTCCTGGGCTCAGGGCTGCTGGGTGGTCTGGGGCAGAAAGGCAGAATGGAGGTGGGCAGGGCAGGAAGAAATATGGGGTAGAAGAGTGAGGGATGGGAAAGGGAGAGGGTGAAATTCTGTGTGTGGGGGGGGGGAGGCTGGTGCAGAAGGAGAGTTGGGGTCAGTATAGGAAGGTTTGGAGGTACTGGGGGAGTAAGAGGGACCAGCAGATGCCAGAACAGGGGAAAGGGTCTACGGAATCAGGTGGGGTCCGCGAGGGTGAGTATAGACTAAGTCCCTTCCCCAGACCCTGCCATCCCAGGTGGCTAGGGGGAGGGGTCCATAGCGAGGTGCTGAGCCCCCTACACTTTGTGTCTGAGGCTCCAGAACCTGTGTCCAACACGCCCCGCCCCTGCCACTCCCGCAGAAGCGCTGCCATTTGGGATGCATCTGCAGACACATGATTGTTTTTAAGTTAATGCTTTATAATTCACTCCGTTTCCCACTTGTCATTTTTTATTGAAAAGGTGGATTCTGCTGGTGTGTGTTCCTTTGCAGGGGCGGCAGGGTGTTCTCCATGGGCAGAGATCCGATGAGAGACAGAGACAAAAGGACCAGAGAGACATGGGGGATGAGTAAACAGGATCAGTGAGCAAGGAACAGGGAGAGAGATGCCCAGGGCGAGACAGACACAGGGTACAGGGTGCTGCGGACCGGTATAGAGCTTCCGGGCCCGGTGAGAGGGATCATTGGCAGAGCAGCAGCCCCATGGGCACGTCACCCCGGGTGCAGCTCCCAGGCCCAGAGTCCGCGAACTGAAAGCCCTGGATAATTACAGCTAATTACATGTGTGCAAACAGCCCCCTTTCCCTTCCCCCTGCGATCCTGCCCCAGCAAAGGGTCTTTGCTGGCACAGCTGGGACTGAGCGCCTGGGGGAAGGGCTTGCAGGCGGAGAGCCCCTGGGGCCCAGGGGCTGGAGTGAGCCCTCTGCTTCCAGAGCACCCCCCACAATTACACACTCCAGCGTGTGCTGCGGCCCGAGGATGGCAGGTTGTGACCGGGTTAGGAATTGGACCAGAACTTGGTCCGAGCTCCCCTTGGCCTTGTGCTGAGCGGGCCCTGGTGGCATGGGCCCCAGCATTTGGGTCCTTAGGTTTCTGTTATCTTGGCCCCCTGAGCATTCCCCTCTCTGCGAATAAGATTCGAGTAGGAGCTCTCCTTGTTTCCCGCCCCGGGGAGTGCCTGCTGGAGCTGAGGTGAGGCCCCGGTGAGGAAGGGACAGAGTCTGGTGCTTGGCGTTTGGTGATCAGTTTGTCTGCCTGGATGCACCGCAGGGCCCCAACAGAGTGATCTTTCGCTGATCTTTCATTTGCGAGACCCTCGGTACCGTGCACGCCTCCTCTGAGACACAGAGTCCAAGGGCAAGTAGAAAGGTGTGAATTCCTCACGTGTGAATGAGGCTTTACACTTTGAACTGCTAGCCTGAATCAGTGATCTAGTTTTGTGGTTTCAGGAGAATTTGGCAGGTGGGTTGGAGTGGTGGCAGGGAAGGGTTTTATATTTCTATAGAGGCCCGGTGCTGGGGTGGGGGCCAGCCCACCTGCCCTGATGGGGGCCCCAATTGGGGTGGAGGTCCCTGCTTGGGGGTGGGGCCAGTAGGGCAAGGGGCCACGGTTATTCTGGTCATTGTGGTTATTCTGGTTGTTCCACTATTTTGGTCGCTGGTCTTTTATTATATAGGATAGGTTTGTAGTGGACCATTATACCTTTTAAAATAACACATGGTTAGTTCTAGTAATTGCTTTATCAACCTTAAGAATTATTTAATTTTCATGTTCTCTTCATTCTATCTCCTGACTGTTTCTGGGTATAATTTTCATATTGTCTTTGTTTATAACATATATAATTTTCACTGTCATTCCCATAATTGTTCAGCTGTGTTTCTATGTTTTAGAGGTTTTTATGATCACCATCATTTTTTTTTTGTATAGGTGTCTGGGTTTTATTCTTGAGTTGTTGTTTTTTCAAGAAAAGTTAGTAGATTCTATGCCCTGATTTCTTGCATGCATGAAAATATATGTCTGTGGTCTGTATAGTTTACTAATTTCACTGTGCGTAACAATCTTGGGCCATATTTTAAAAGTTGATTTCATTTTTAACATTTGGTAAATATAAAGCATATTGTGGGGCATGATAATAAACCAACCAGGGACCATACCAGCCAACTTAATGTCAGAGCATCACCACATCTTTCCTCCACCCGACCACTCACTGCTTGCCTCCTCCAAACATATTGCTCTCCTTCAGAGGCTGCTGGCCACCTCCCATGACCAGGGAGATACTCTCAGGTGGACAGTTTTGACTTAAAAATGATGGAATAGTTTCACGCCCAAGTCCTTCCCTGATAACTGAGAGAGGAAGGGGAGGAACGGAAGTCATTCTCGATGTTTCAATGGGTTAAAGTGACATATTGTGCTACAGCTCTCAATCCACCCTCCGACACCCCACCTTGTCCCACTGCTACCTTTGCTGGACCTCATATGCATCTACCTAGGCTACAGTAAGGGAATCTTTGTTAATTCATGCCGTCTAATTTTAAAATCAGTTTTTGAGGTAGACATATCACCTGTTGACTCATTTTGAGCTTGTAATCAAGTCTCTATGCCTCCCTCCACTGCCCCTCAGCACACAATGAAGAGCTGTGAGAGCTAAGCCAAGTAAGTTCATCTCTCTGGGCCTCATTTCTGGCGGGTAAAATTAAACCAGTTGAACCAAAGGAATTCTGAATTTCTTCCAGTTTTAATTTCTTTGCGTTCCTAAGAGACTTCACTTAGTATTTTTTATGTAGAATCTCTCACCCATAGCAATATGGGAAAGTAAATCTGCCTAGAGAGATTTCATTGATTAAACAACATAAACTGTCAAGATAATTTTTCTCAGCTGTACAAAGCCTATATTCACAGATGTCATAATACTGGGTGGTGTGTGTGTGTGTGTGTGTGTGTGTGTGTGGTATGTATTTATATATAGCCAGTTGACTATGCTGGGTTGTGATAGTCCAGGAGGTAGAGAATACATTAGAGACAGAAAATGCCAGTGGGAAAGTAAGGGGAATCAGTGGTGTGTATTTCTATGCAAAAACTGTCCATCTCTTTCCTTTAACCCAGAATGCCTAGTGTGCTATCACCCCCTGATTCAATTTCATAATAAGGAAGAGAAAGATAAATATTTTGAGAGTAATAAGGTGAAAGACTAAACAGAACACGAAAAGAAAATCTAAGAAATGTAGCAACAGCATAAAAGGACTGAGTGACTTGTAGATCTTCCATTGTCATATATAAACACCCTCTTAGATCTTGAAACACTTATTCTCTTGCCTGTACTCTGTAAATCTCAGTTTTTATCTAACATTAGATTTATATGGTCAGGATCAAAGATGATTGAAATGATGGAAAGGTCCTACATACCAGAGGCTGGTTCCATTCAATACTTGAGGAGGGAGAGAATAGATAAGAAAGAGAAATGACACAAAGAATGTTTGCTTCACTGACCATGGGTTGAAAGTCCATAGGAGATGTCTCAAGATTCTAAAATAACTTCACCCATGATTTTTCAAGAAAGTGAATACGAACAGAGGCACTTCTGTTCTACCTTTTTACCTCTGTTCTTTATTGCATAGATTATTGACTTACATGCCATGTAAAGGACTGGTTAGTACATATTTTTATGTGTATGATAGACTTACCAAGAGATAATTCATTTTGTTATACATTGTATTGGACCTCCATTCCCTCTTGGAGGCCATAATATGGAAAGTATAGGCAAAAATTTTAGAAATATTTAAAAACATAAAATTTGTACAGATGCTAACTGACAGTATAATAAATAACATTAAAAGTATTCTGATATTGTTCATCTGACATTTGTAAAACAAAATAAAAGAAAAACATTTTAAATATATTTTTAAGTTATATTATTCCTATAAAAATGTATCGAAAAATATCACAGTCCTGAAAACAATACCAACCCGTGGGATTTTATAAAATCACAGTCTTTCTTGAAAGTAAATGAATTTAAGTGGAATTATCAAGGTGACTTCCACCATTACTGTTGCTTTTATCTCCAGTAACTAATGACAACCTTTTCCCATAGAGCTGAACATAAATGAAAGCAATGCCACTGACTTTCAGTAATAAATGGCAAGGAGACAATAATGGGGAATACCTACTATTTTTCTTTGCTAGTGTGTCCTGGAATAAAAAAGAAAAAAAATATCTAGTTCATCACTCATATTTTTAATAAATCTAATTATTTTCAAACCACCCCAAAGGTAAAGTACTGGTGGATTTAAAAAAATGAGCTATCCTCACATATAATGTGACCATTCACAACATAAAACTTAAGGGATAAATCTGCATTTTCACACAACTTTGATTTTGCTGAAAGAATATCAGCTCCATAACTTCAATGAATGAACCATATCTAAAATAATCATCACTTTCATCTACATTTGAATTTTGAAGGATAATTTCTAAGTTCAGTTTAAAATATTTGAAAGTGAGGCAATATATTACGTTAGTTGGGTGGTGAAGTTAACAGACAGACTATGAATGTGGAACCAGAACCAATTGTTTTGATTTCATTTAAAGCTGTGTGCCCTTGGACAAGCCAGAGTTTCTGTTTCCTGAAATACCAGATGGGGATGATAAGGCTGACCTCTTCTGGTTTGTTCTGAGGTTATGGAGGACACCTTATTTGCACCACCCATCCATGGTAGGACCCCAGTCACTTCGTATGTGTGTCTCTAGTGCCCCATACCCCAGCCTGGGCTGAGGAGAGCATAGCACCCCAACTAAACCAATGGAGCTTCTATTACTGAAATTTGGGATTGTAGGAGGGTGATTGATTGTTTCACTGTTTGTAAATGTTTGTACCTGGACCTCTAATAAACTACCCCTCAAACTCACCACATGGATCGGGAAAGAAAAGAAAGGAGGGAAGTTTTTAAAAAAATGAGTCAGATCTAGAAAGATAAGGCACAAGCAAGGGTTCAGACAGCTTCCTATGACTTCCTATTGCTTACCCTGTCTTTGCATTTCATATGAATTTTCTGTATAGACATAGCAATCTCTTTGCTGCCAATACTAGCTTTAGTTACATTCTTTGATTTGCAACCCAAGAAGCCCTAGTATGAGTTAAGTGAGAATGTTCATGGAAAATTTTTTTTTAATTATGAAGCAATTTGGGGGGTTGTCACAAGATTCTAAAAAATATACAAAAACAGTTAAAACTCCTTAATGTCTGTATTAGTCTTCAAGGGCTGCCATAACAAAATACTATAGACTGGTTGGCTGAACTTTATGTTCTCACAGTTCTGGAGGCTAGAAATCCAAGATCAAGGTGCTATTAGGGTTGGTTTCTGATGAGGGATCTCTTCCTGGTTTGCAGATGCCCACCTTTTTGTTTTAGCTTTTCATGGCTTTTTTTTTTAAATATATTTTATTGATTTTTTACAGAGAGGAAGGGAGAGAGAGATAGAGAGTTAGAAACATCGATGAGAGAGAAACATCGACCAGCCGCCTCCTGCACACCCCCTACCGGGGATGTGCCCGCAACCCAGGTACATGCCCTTGATCAGAATCGAACCTGGGACCTTTCAGTCCGCAGGCCGACGCTCCATCCACTGAGCAAAACCGGCTTTGGCTTTCATGGCTTTTTTAATGTGCCTGTGTAAGGAGAGAAAGATCTCTGGTGTCTCTCACTCTTTTTATAAGGATACCAGTCCTTATGACTTCATTTAAACCATAATTACCTCCTTAAAGGTCTTATATCTAAATATAGTCACATTTGGGGTTGACACCTGAACATATGAATTGGGATGGGGGTCACAATGGAATCCATAACAGTAAGTAAATGATGTAGCTTACTGCACACAGGTAGTTGCACAAAGCAGAATCCACAGCAGAAATTGCATTTGGAGCTTCCTGGCCTTCATCCTGTGACTGTTCCCTGCTACTTGGCAAATCACCTGATTGAGGTGAGGATTCTAGAAGGTTCTTAAAAAAGTTCCATTAGCTTTCAAAACCACTAAATGTTTCTAATACTACTTAGACTCCTCCCAAATTTTTTTTTCTCACAACTCAGCTTATTTATCTGCTGGATCAGCAGGTGAGAGTAACTGGTAGCAACTCGAGTATGTTCATTTTTTAGTGAAACTATATCCCCTGGTTTAATCCTATATAATAAAGAGGTAATATGCATATTGACCCTCATGCCCTTGCATCACAAGATAGCTGCCCCCACATCATCACAAGATGGTCGCCCCCACATTGTCACAAGATGGCTGCCCCGCCTTAACCGGTTTGGCTCAGTGGATAGAGCATCAGCCTGCAGACTCAAGGGTCCTGGGTTTGATTCCGGTCAAGGGCATGTACCTTGGTCAGCTGATCAGTGTTTCTCTTTCATGGATGTTTCTAACTCTCTATCCCTCTCCCTTCCTCTCTGTAAAAAAATCAATAAAATATATTTTTTTAAAAAAAGATGGCTGCCCCCACCTTATCACAAGATGGCCAGCAGGGGATGGCAGTTGGGGACGACCAGGCCAGCAGGGGAGGGCAGTTGGGGGGACCTGGGCCTGCAGGGGAGCAGTTAGGTGTCAATCAGGCTGTCAGGGGAGCGGTTAGGGGGTGATCAGGCTGGCAGGCAGAAGTGGTTAGGGGCAATCAGGCAGGCAGGTAGGTGAGTGGTTAGGAGCCAGCAGTCCCAGATTGTGAGAGAGATGTCTGACTGCCAGGGATCAGGCCTAAACCGGCAGTCAGACATCCCCCGAGGGGTCCCATATTGGAGAGGGTGCAGGCTGGGCTAAGGGACATCTCCCGCCTCCCCAGTACATGAATTTTGTGCACTGGGCCTCTAGTTTCCTATAAATCACATCTCTTTAGTAATCTCAGGATTTAGCATATTTATATCTATTCCTATACCTATATAAAGGTAAGATATTAATATTATTATTGTTATTATTATTATTAGAGGCCCAGTGCACAAAATTCATGCACGGGGGGGTGGTCCCCTCAGCCCAGCCTGCACACTCTCCAATCTGAGACCCCTCGAGGGATGTCCAACTTCCGGTTTAGGCCCGATCCTGAGGATAGGGCCTAAATCAGCAGTTTCACATCCCTCTCACAATCCGGGACCGCTGGATCCTAACTGCTCACCTGCCTGCCTGCCTGATCACCCCTACTGGCCCCCCTGCCAGCCTGATCACCCCTATCCACCTCTGCCTGCTAGCTTGGTCACCCCCAACGGCTCCCCCTTGCCAGCCTGGTCCACCCTAACAGTCCCCATCTGCTGGCCTCGTCGCCACTAACTGCCCCCTCTGCCGGCCTGGTTGCCCCTCACTGCCCCCCTCTGCCAGCCTGGTAGCTCCCAACTGCCCCCTCTGCTGTCCTGGTTGTCCCCAACTGCCCCCCTGCTAGCCTGGTCACCCCTAACTGCCCCCCCCTGCCAGCATGGTTGCCCCTTACTGCCCCCTCTGCTAGTCTGGTCACCCCTAACAGTCCCCCTCTGCCGGCCTGTTCGTCACTAACTGCCCCCCTGCCAGCCTGGTCACCCCTTACTGCCCCCTCTGCCAGCCTGGTTGCTCCCAACTCCCCCCTCTGCTGGCCTGGTTATCCCCAACTGCACCCCCTGCCGGCCTGTTTTCCCCTTTCCAATCTTGTGCTGCTCATTGCCCCTTCTCCTTCTATTTGCCACACAGAAGCTAGAGTGACCTTGTCTAATCTTGTCAGGTCAAATCAGTCCCTCATCAAAAGCCTCTCACATTCAGACTAAAGTCATACTTCCTATGGCTTTCAAAGCTACATACTCTATTATTTCTCTGATATTATTTTTCTTCATTCATGCAGATTGCTGTTATTGGCCCAATTGCTATTATTAAAATATGATAGGCACAGCACTGCTCCAGGAATTTTTAGTAAGTGAGAACAGGAGATGAAACTGCCCATTGATAATTTGGACTTGATCTTTTAAGCACTGGAGAGTAATTATAGGTGAATGGATAAGTCAGTTTGAATTTTGGAAGTTAAACTATAATGCTAAAATTGTGTAGGATGGATTGAGGATGGGAGAGAATCAATGTAGTTTAGTAAAATTTAGTAATATTTTTGGAGGCTCCTAACTAGGTTTTGGAAGAAAGGTAAGATGGATATGAATAGCATTTTGAAAATAGAATTGAAAGTCTCTCTCACATAATATACTGGATTGAGAAACAGGGAAGAGTAAAAAATGACTGAGGCATCCAGTTTACTCTGAGTACTTCTCTGAGCAGAATGAATAGACAAGGTTTCTATCTTTATCAGTTTGGGCTGCTATAACCATACACTCTATAATTCAAACCAAAAGAATGTATTTTTCACAGCCTTGAGGCCAGTAGTCTGAGATCAGGTTGCCAACATGGTTGGGTTCTGGTGAGAACCCTCTTCTGAATTGCAGACTTCCAGCAATTCGGTTGTGTCCTCACATGGCAAGATAAGAGCAAGCTAGTTTCCTAGGCTCTTCTTAGTATAAAGGCACTAATATCATTCACGAGGGCTCCACCCTCATCCCAAGGTCCCACATCCTATTACCATTACAGTGGGAATTAAAATTTCAATATGTGAATTTTGGAGGGATACAGACATTCAGTTCACAATAGTGTCTCACATCTACTCTTAATATTACACCATCTCATCTAATGTCTATGGCAGGATGTTTTGGTTCTAGTCTGTACTCAAGTACTGACCTAAGTTCAGTAGACCCTGTGAAGACCATTTCAGGGGAAATTTAATCTGTATCAGAGACACTGACACCACTCTAGCACACTGCTTCTCTGTGTATGTGCTGACTAACACTTATAAAAAGGGAACTTAATGCTCCAAGAAATCATATTTTACAAAAAACAAATGCTATTTAAATAAGGTAAAATTATGACCTAATAAACTGAGTACAACAACAAATAGCCAACCCTTCTGAACTACAAAATGTTTAATTCAAAATGAGAAACATTTGTGTTCTTTTTAAGAAATAATAAAGGTTTCATGCCCTGTCTTTTGGATCACTCTCTAGGTACCTTGTCCTTGGCAATTATTACTGCCTGTAATGTTTCTGTGCCCCAACTCCGGGCACTGTTAGAAGGGCCTGTTTTCACTCTGTCTCAGACTCTCTATGACCGAGTCATCTTGTTAGAGCAGGACTCTGATCTTGGATCCCAGCTGCCACGTCTACACCCTCTCAGGAGAAATCTAGCAAAAGGTTCATTTATACATCACTTGAAAGAACATCTTTACAAAAAACTCCTGCTATGCATGTCAAATGTCCTCTGACTTCCTAAGAGGCCAAGGGTGTTTAGACTGGGACTCTGGTTATTTCATGTGTAGAAGCTGCCATTTCTGAAGCAAATACTTTTGAAGGTTTGAATGCCAATACTTACAGCTACTGCTCTTTGTCCCTAAGGACCTAAAGAATCAATGATGTTACATAGATAGTTTATTTAAGGCAGTTTTGTTGTTTCTGTGCAACCTGAGTGCTGTATTGCATGACAGGTAATTCTTTTGTAGTCGAAAACTGTTTTTATTTTTCATAGCACATCACATGAACTCTCTCTTCCTTTCTGCATTGCTATGCATGTGAACACACAGAAGTGAAATCTTTTATGATGCAATTTAACATTTCCCCAAAATTTATTAGCTACTATTGAAATGTAGCAGGGGGAAGGTCTTATTTAGATTCAGTGCCTTCACTGCAGATACATGTAGGGTTATTTTCATGATATTTCTGGGTTCTGTAATAACTTCTACTTATTCATTTCTTTATTATAATGCATGACTAGTGTAGAGAATGTAGAAAATACAGAAATTAAAATCATCAGAGGTCCTGGCGAGGTAGTTTAGTTGGTTAGATTGTTGCCCTTATACACCAAGGTTGTGGGTGCTATCTCTGGTCAGGGCACATACAAGAAGCAACCAATGGATGCATAAGGAAGTGGAAAATAAATTAATGTTTTTCTCTCTCTCCCTTTCTCTCTCTCTCTCTCTCTCTCGAATGGAAAAAAAATTAATGTTTCTCTCTCTCTCCCTTCCTCTCTCTCTCTCTCTCTCTCTCTCTCTCTCTCTCTCTCTCCTCAATGAATTAAAAAAAATTAAATCATCAGGAGTCCCAAGAAACAAAAATAATCATTGCTATGATTACATATACATAAGTCCTTGTATGTTTCTGAAAAAAGAACATGTTATTTTGTTACCTTTATATTTTTAAAGGGGTTCAGCCTGGGTCTCAATGTGATATGTTGACCATATTTAAAGACTACACTCCTTGGAAAATTCTGCATGAGTAGAGTTGCAGCAATGTCGCTAGTTAAAACTCTATTGTAGTTTCCATAACTTTTGGCTTGGATATTTTATGGACTGAATGTTTGTGTCCTTCCAAAATCCATATGTTACAAATTTAATCCCCAATGTGAGGGTAGTTGGAAGTGGGGGCTTTGAGGAGTAATTAGGTCATGAATATGAAACCTTCATGAATGAGATAGTGCCTTTACAAAAGAAACCACAGAATGCAAACGCGTGCTTTTCACCATGTGAGGATACAAGAAATTGGCAATCCACAACCTGAAAGAGGGCTTTCACCAAAATCATACTATGCTGACTCCTTAATCTAGGGCATTAAGCCTTCAGAACTGTGAGCATTGATTTTCTGTTGTTTATAGTGACTCAGGCTGTGATATTTGTAGACCAAACTAAGACGGATATATGATTTATAAATTTCTACTCAATCTTGACTTTAAAAATAGTTCATGTTCATATTTAAAAATTATAGATTGATGGTGAAAAATTCTAAGATTCTCAGAAGCATTTGGTCTTGTCAATTTAGGCTTAAACTTGCAATAATTACTAAGAATATCAATAGGAAAAGTTTGAAAAACATACAATGTTGTTAATTTTATAGAGTTTCCTACAATATAGCAGAAGCTAGTTAGCCCCAGGAGACGGGGGAGTGTTTAGTTTTGTATCTACCTGTATGGTTATGAAATGACCATCTTGTTCTATGCTGTTGTTATCAGAAACCAATGTTTTTGCCATGAGCCCCCTACCTGTGTGCACTGGCCCAAATAAATGAATGAGCGGGAGTTTGTATTGTTGAAAGAAAAAATAGTTTAAGATTGAATTGGCTTATGCTCTAAAAAGCTGACTCCGTGATGGTGTGTCGGTTACAGATTATATGGGGCAAAATCACAAGACATCGTGAATTAGGGGTTGTGGGGTTGTGTTGATAGGTAACTGGTTAGAGGTAAGATAAGAGAAATAAATCATCTCTTCAAGTATTTACTAGTAGGACAGCTCTGAGGTCTTTCACAGCATCCTTCTGTCTGGTCTCATGAGAAACTACTTAGGGAGTGGTTCCACCCAGGGCTCAGAAATTGAAATATAACTTAGGTAAGGATATTATTTTTAGGAAGATGGAAGGAGCAACTAAATCGAATAACACCCACCCAGAATTGGTGAATTAGACACCGCTAGTGAGACAATTCATAACCAAAAAGGCCAGAGGATGCCTAGAGAACAGTAGAATCGGTGATCTGGGCCAGAGAGAGCTATGAGACCACCAGGCCAGGAGGGTCAGAGAAAGTTGCACTGCACCAAGTCCGCGTCTTTTGGGGACAGGCATGACATCCAGCTGTGGAAAGGAAGTCCACAGAGCTGCTAGTGGCTGGGGGATCTAGATCTAAGTCCATAGCCGAGAAAGGCTGCACTCAGAAGGCTGCCTGAAGAGCTGCCTGAGCCACACAGTGCCAGGGGGAGAGAAACTCAAAGTTGTGTGGTTGTTTTGCCTCTGTTTTTGTCTTTGCTTTTATTCACTAAACCCAGTTCATTACAAACACTCACCTGAGGCAGCGGTGCAGGCAGAGGTGCAGATTTGTGGGGTCTGGGGAGAGGCTGTGGAAGAGAGCAGGACAGGAGAGGTGACCAGGAATCCAGCACTGAGACATTTGTTACCCTCCAAACCTAAGTAGCCTTTTTTCTCCTGAAGAGCCAGCCAATCCCAGCAGCCTCAGGAAGCTAATACAGCAACACCCAGGCTACACAAAGTAAACAAAGACTCTGAATAGCCCCAAAGAGCCCTCAGGGACTGGGGTGAAGAGGGGCTGATACAGCACCACATCCACATAAAGCCCTGTCAGAAACAGACGCTTGAGTGATTAAGATTAACAGCAGGCAGACAGGCAAAGTGGGCAGATTGGACCTGACTGCTTGCAGCCAAGGTTGTGGAGACAGACACAGAGGAGTGGTGGATCGCTTGAAATTTCAACACGGTGCTCACTCCCTAACAGGAAACTGAGAAGTGGCAGACAGAACAGAAGAATGGGGTCTTAAACCAGCCCTCATGGGGCATTAAAATTAGGCTTAAGTGAACTACACTTCACTTTTTTATTAATTTTTTTTCATTCTTTTTTCTTTTTTGATCTTTTCTATTTTGTATTATTTTTGCTTCATTCTATTCTTATGTATTTTATTAGAGGCCTAGTGCACAAAATTCGTGACCTCTTGGGAGGGTCCCTCAGCCCGGCCTGCACCCTCTCTCAGTCCAGGAGCCCTTGGGGGATGTCCGACTGATGGCTTAGGCCCGCTCTCCTTAGGCAGGGAGCGGGCCTAAGCTGTCAGTCAGACATCTTTAGTGCTGCCACAGAGGCAGGAGAGGCTCCTGCCACCACCACTGTGCTCGACAGCCGTGAGCCCGGCTTCTGGCTGAGTGGTGCTCCTACTGTGGGAGCGCACTGACCACACTCCTGCAGTGAGTGTCTGCCCCCTAATGGTCAGTGCACATCATAGCAACCAGTCGTTTGCCACGGGGTCAAAAACGCCTCTCCAACATCCCCTGAGGGTTTCTGGATTGCAAGAGGCTCCAGGTCAGGCCGAGGGACACCACTGGTGCATGATTGGGGCCAGGGAAGGACGCGGGAAGTTGGCCAGCTGGGGAGGGACCATGGGAGGGCTCCAGGGCATGTCTGGCTTGTCTCGTTCAGTCCCATTTGGCCAGACCCCGGCAGCAAGCTAACCTACTGGTTGGAGTGTCTGCCCCCTGGTGGTCAGTGCATGTCATAGTGAGTGGTTGAGTGGCCTTAGCATATCATTAACATATTATGCTTTGATTGGTTTAACAGATGACTGGACGAGCGGACACTGAGCATATTAAGCTTTTATTATATAGGATTGTTATTTTTTCTTATTTTTTCCTCTTTTCCACCCTTTTCTTCCTCATTTCTCCCTTTTTCATACTGTTTTTTCTCTCCTGTCCCCACTTTAGTTTATCTCTTTTCTTTCTTTTTACACCTTGTTAAAAATTGACCTTCTTTATCTGCTTTATTGACGTGTTATTATTATGTAATCTCTGTTGGCTTACTCATATATCTAATTTGCTCTCCCCTGTTCCAAGTCTATGCACTCTTCTCTTTACTTTTTCTTCACTAGTTAATCTTTTTTTATGCTTTTGTTTTTCCTCCCCTCTCTTGCTCTCTTTTTATCCTAATAGTTTAATTAGTTTCACTCACTAAACTCAAGCCTATCTGTTCTCCCCTATATTCTACTTTTCCAAAAATAAATGAATAAACAGATAGAGAAATTAAATTTTTTTGTTTTATATTTATTTTTTTTTAATTATTTTCCTCTCACTCTTTCTACTTCCTCTATACTGAACCACGGTCCTTCCCCTATTCATTCAATTCCTTAACCTTACTTTCTGTGTATAAGCTCTGCCTTTACTGATTCTGTGCCCCCACCCCTTTTTCTGGGTGTTTTCTCCCCATATGTATTTTTTTCTTGTTTCTTCTTTTCCTTTTCTCTCTTGCTTTTTGTCTTTTCTTGATATCATTTTTGCTCTCTTTTCTCTCTCCTAATTCTCTTTTCTCTGGTGGTCACTTTTATTGGAGTTATGGGTGTCATGAATACATTCATGTTTTGTTCCCTTTGTGTTGTGTCTTGTTGAGTTGTATTTTGTGCTGTTTGGTCAACATAGTAGAGAGCAAGCCATATAACCAGACACCCTGAGAGGAGACTCCATCCACAAATAGGACAATAATACTCACGACCCAACTATACCAAGAGAACCCAAATACCCCAAGTAGGGGGAATTTCTTGAAACTGATGGTAGTCTATTTTTAAAAATATGCAAGTTGTGCCTTTATAATCTGATCATTATCAAGAAAGATTTCAAAACTGTAATTAAGAACAACCTATTAAAATGGCTATGAAATATTAATATATTATTTGATAATTCTATTAACTTATTAATAACAAGTAAAAATGCTTCTCTTTGTATTCTTCACTTTGTGTTGTAAGTAAACACATTAAAATCAGAATAAGTTTATATTTCTCTTTAGTAACTCCATGAATAATATAGCTTAGGCTTTGACCCATAGTATACTTATGGATTTGAGTTTATATACGAAGTAAGATAAAAGTAGGTTTACAGTTTGTGAGTATGCAAAACAAAGAATTTATTCTTGTATTAGTATTTATTAATTATTGTATTATTTTCCATATGAACAATGGCAAACATATTTTGCTCTAACTTGTATATAATATTTGTCATAGATATAATATTAATATGTAATATCATATATAATTTTTAAGTTTGCTATGTAATATTTATTTAATAAAGAAAATACATAAATGAAAAAAAATTAAACTAGACCCCCAACTTACACCGTACACAAAAGTAAACTAAAAATGGATAAAGGACTTAAACGAGATAGGAAATCATAAAAATCTTAAAAGAATCCATAGGCAGCAAAATATCAGACATATGTCATAGCAATGTCTTTACCTATATAAGCTTCTAGGACAATGGACATTAAGGAGAAATTAAACAAATGGGACTACATCAAAATAAAAAACTTCTGCATAGCAAAACTAACCACCAACAAAACAATAAGAGTGGCCACTGCATGGGAGAACATATTTGCCAATGTTATCTCTGATAAGGGTCTAATCTCCAAAATTTATAGGGAACTCATACAACTTAACAAAAGGAAGATAAACAATCCAATTAAAAAATGGGCAAAGGACCTAAATAGATACTTTTCAAAAGGGGAGGGAGAGGTTAGAGATCAACCAAAGAACTGGTATGCATTCATATGGACATAACTCATGGACACAGACAGTAGCGGGGTGAGGGCATGTGCTGGGGTGAGATCAATGGGGAAAAAAGGAGACATATGTAATACTTTAAACAATAAAGAATTTAAATAATAATAATAAAAAGATGTTATCTTTAGCCTGCAAGAAGTCCGGATCTTGTGACCATTAGTCAGGCCCTTGTCTTCTGCTGCCTTGGGGGTTGCTGATTATTGGGGTAGAGGTTAGATCTCTGGTGTGGGGCGGGGTGGGTAGAGAGTGAAAGAGAGGAATATGATTTCAAGAACTAGGCTTTTAAACTAAATTTAATCAAAGTCATAGGGACCCTTGGTTTTTCTGTTTATATATGTAAGCCTGACTACATGATTTGTTAACCTTTCTTTTGCTTTGAACCACAAGCTCATATGAAGTGCTTCATCAACATCACTTAAAATTATCAAAAGGAATTGTTTTGCTTAAGGGTGCTTATTTTCACATGTAATTATTACAAAAATTGTATCTGAAAATAGTTTATGCATTAAGAATATTACTTGACTCCAAGTGCAACCCAAATAGGAGGACTGTTTAGTAATTTATAATACTCTGAAAATTTCCTTATATTGCTGAAATATATGGACCTACAGAGCAGCTGGATATTACAATAGCGTTGCATAAACTATGTAAACTTGAATAGAGCAGATTTGAAATGAGTAGAAAGAGCAACTATCATTGGCTTTTTAAAGAAAATCTTGCTGTTTGACAAAACAGGATACACTTCTCCAAAAATCATGTTAGTTTGGAAAAATGGGATCTATACCTCATGGATCACATTTCTATAGTGAAATTAGAGAATTTATCCACTTAAATTTTAGAGACATATCAGAACCTAACTCAGTTTCAAGTTAGTGGATAAGTAAATCAACCAATGGTGATTGAAGCTTCTAATAGCAAACTGCACACATTTTAAGGAATAGACTATCCTTGAATTTCAAGCTCAAGAGGTACCCTTAGAAACTGAGAGGTAAAATAGTATTTAATAAAATTAAGTTGAAAGTTTTCTGATTTTGAAATATTTACAGTATGAATTTAACCATAAGCATTATCTTAATGCTTTCTTTTCCATTAGAACATTTTAACATTTTATTAAAATGTGCACCAGTTAAAATATATTATGTTTTTCATAATTTATACTCACAAATATTGTTTTACTAGAGTCCAGTATACGAATTTGTGCACAGGTGGGGTCCCTCAGGGTGGCCTGTGGAGAGCGGGCCTCAGCTCATGCTCCTACCAGCCGTGGGCAAACTACGGCCTGCGGGCTGGATCCGGCCCGTTTGAAATGAATAAAACTAAAAAAAAAAAAAGACCGTACCCTTTTATGTAATGATGTTTACTTTGAATTTATATTAGTTCACACAAACACTCCATCCATGCTTTTGTTCCGGCCCTCCGGTCCAGTTTAAGAACCCATTGTGGCCCTCGAGTCAAAAAGTTTGCCCACCCCTGTAGCCTCACAGCCCCAGCTTGTGCCCCCAGCCTCGCAGCCCCACAGCCCTGCCTGGTACCCTGCCTTGGCCTGGCACCACCCCCTCACCTGCTCCACTATCCCACCTGCAGGATAATCACTGTCTGCAGGGTGATCAGCGGGGTGATCGGGACCCCACTCACACCCGCCTTGCCTGGCGCCGCCTGCTCACCTGCTCCACCATCCCGCCATGGTCCTGCTCTCATCGGGGCCCATTAGGGCCCGCAGTGCCTCCACTGCTGCCCACTGCCAGCGCTGCCAATGCCTGCCATGTTCCACGCCCCCCCCCCCCCCCCCCGTGGTCAGCAGACGTCATAGCAAGCAGTCGAATTCCAGGTCTCCAAGTCAAACTTCTGGTCCAATGACTGCCTGAGGGGACAATTTGCATATTAGGCTTTTATTATACAGGATATTCTGAAAACTTTTAAGGTATGAATATTATAATGTGTGTATTAGTGGTTTTTAACCAAGTTGATAGCTTTTGAAAAATCATTTTGCAACAATTACAGTGGAGATATCAGTCATTCCTAATAGAGTATGACAATTATAGGTCTAAAAACTATTCATCTGACATAATTTAAACTAAATTAAAAGTTTCTAGGTTCTTTTTATATACTACTCTTTGATTAAATATTAGTCTTATTTTCTCCTCAAAATAAAACTTTAATTCTTCTATTTATTGTGATTTATAAATCTCTACAGAGCGAAGAAAAATAAGTGAAAGTATTTGGTCTTTTTCCTCCTTTCCCCCTATAAATTCATCTTATTTATTTCACTTATTTTGTTGATTTGATACACATACTTTAAATATTCTTATAAGATTATTTACTGAAATTAAGTCACAAAAAGATAACAACTACCTGCATTTCACAATTTTAACTGTGAAAACTGCTCTAAGGCCAAAAAGACTAATTGAATAAAATCAGATAGGACAAGCTATAGGTAAGGCACATGCAAAAAAGATGCAGGATTTTCAATTTAACTGTAAGATCAAAATGAATGAAGTATGCTATGTCTGCCTTTAACAGGTAATGCATTTGAAGGCTCCATTAGCTTTGAAATATGACTAAATTTGGATGGATGTGGTGGTGGGGTGGAAGATAGGGGGAAACCATATATTAAGAACAGTAGAAAGAAACTAAGAATATTTGGCTTGTAGGAGAGAAAACTCTAGGGGCAAGTATGAGAGCTGTCTTAAAATAGTTGAAGAACTTTAATATAGAAGGAAGATTAAACTGTAATAAATGTTTTAAACTACTTTATATCTGAAGAACTTTCAATTCTGAGATTATATGATTATGTGAACAATACTAACCTTTTTATGAAACAATGATTGTGATCACTAATAAATTACAATTAACTTAATATTTAATGACCTGCTTTTCAAGGTTTCCCTCATTGGTGACCTCAGTGTTATCTGTGTTCACCAGCAGTGGTGAAAACATCTGGAAAGTGATGCTGAAGCAAAGAAATATAATTGGGCCTTGGGGATTTGAAAAGCTCAGTAGGGTTAGTCCTTTTGAGAAAAGCATTAGCTTAAAATCCCCTGAATCTTGGTGGATATATATATATATTCTCCTCATGGCTGTACACAAGATCTAAAGGATGGTATCTTGGGCTTATATCATTCAGTTGAAGGCTCTGAAGGATAGATGACAGGCCAATTTTTAAGCTTATTAAATGCAAATTATGGTACTGCTGACTACAGACTTGAACAAATTTTAGTAATTACTACAGTGATTAAGGATCACCTCTAAATGCAACACAATGAAACTCATTATTGTTGAAACCAGCAACACTGTAGCCTATAAACACAGAAAACTCTATATTTTTCCATTTATAATTGAATCATTGCTCAGAACTCCCAGATTATGCCTATTATAAATATTTACAATGGCCATCCAATATTCATACCCTTGGTGTATGGAGATATGTCTTCTTGGTGATAATGGCCATTATGTAAAGTCCATTACTGATGGGGTATAGTATAAGGTTCAATTGTTAAGGACAAATTCCAGTTAACTTTTCATTAATTTAGAAGAATAGGATTGATAAAAGTCTAAATATGTAAGGTAAAATGATCATTTGAATTTAAAGAATTCCTGAGAGCACTAAGATTACATAGAAACAACAAAACTATCTTCAAATAAACCACCTTGGTAACAACATCATTGATTCTTCAATTCAAAGAAATTATGATCCTGGGGGACTTGGAGCAATAGATATAAATGCTGGTTTTCAGAGCATCAAAACTGTTTTCTTCAAAGAGGACAGCTTAAGGAGATGAAACAATTCTGGGGCCCTGTCAAAAGACCTTTTGGCCTCCTAAGAAGTCGATGGAATTTGACATGCAGTGCAGGATTTGTAAAGTAGCCCCCTTGAGATATATTCAACAAGAGTTTCTGACTGATGATAGTTGTTCTAAGCCATCCATTCCCTTAAATCTTTAAGAATGTTTTTACTTATTAAAAAAGCAGAAAAAAAGATGGGGGGAAAAAAGACAGGAAAGGAAAGACATGCCCTGGGAAAGGGGTACTTATGTGAAAACATATAATACTGACTGTCCTATTTTCTAGAAACAAATTAAATAACCAAACACATAAACCAAAGAAACTCCAGAAAACTAACTATATGCTGCTCTAAGAGCTAATTTTTCAGGAGTCTTCAGGGGAGAACTACATAAACTTCGAAAAAAATCTATTTATAATAAAAAGAAGTGATAATTGAAGGTCACCTTATGCTTACATTTCATTTCTAACCTTCCTACTAATTTTCTTTCTATTGTTATCAAAAAAATCATACATTTACCAATTAGATGGTCACCTGAAAAGTAAAATCAATACTAATTTCAATTATTTTTCTATTTAAAAAAGTGAATGGAGCTAAGCAAATTTCCTCTCTAGGCAGAGGTAACTGGCTTCTTATAATGAGGGATGCCATTTTTATGATGTGGACAGTGCAGGAGGCTAACTGCTTAGTGGCAATTGCATTGGGTCATCTGCTCTCTGGGCTGAACACCAGTAACAGTTGTATTACAAGCAAGTTCGTCCCTGATTAGACAACTGTGTGTAGGGCCCTCTCCTGGCAGAAGTTTTAGTCAACTTTAGGAATTTCTTTTTCACTGATACAGATTTTATTCGAATTTCATCACTTGTCCCAATAATGTCCTTTGTAGCAGAAGAAAATCTAGGTTCGTGCATTACATTCAGCTGTCATGTCTCTTTAGTCTCCTTTAAGCTGGAATAGTTCCCGAGCCGTCATTTGTGTTTTATGATAGTATTACTTTTAGAGTACAGGCCATTTATTTTGTAGAAAGTCCCTCAATTTGGATTTGACTGTTTCCTCAGATTAGACTCAGGTTATAAACTTTTGGCAGGAATGCCATAGAAGTGCTATAGTGTTCTTAATGCATCATATCATGAGGCACATGATGTCTATTTGTCCCATGACTGTGGTGTTAACTTTGAACATTTAATGAGGGTGGTGTCTGTCTGCCACTTCTCTCTAAGCCAGTGCTGTTTCTTTTTCTCTGCATTCAAAGGACTTCTTTTGTGCCCATTCAGAATGACCATATGATATCAATGTGTCATAATTTTCAGAAATAAAAAGGACTTTTGTAGTTTTTTTTGTATTGGACTTAGAATTTTTCTGAAAGTTTGAGATTGTTTTATTTTTTAAATTTCTTTATTGATTAAGTTATTACATATGTGTCCTTATCCCCACATTACCACCCTCCCCATGCCCTTACCCCCCTGTTGTCTGTGTCCATTGGTTAGGCCTATGTGCTTTTGAGGATGGAATGGGTTTTTCTCACTGCAGGGAGGTGCAAGGAGGGCAGTTTTTGTGAACAAACTTCTAAGCTGTGTTCTTTCCTGCCCCTAGCATTTGTCAAAGCAAATAAATACTTATAGCAGCAACACATTTAGTATTGTGCCTTTTCTGAATAAAGCCATTTGTTGGATTCTGGGAAATAAAAGGAAACAGAAGTCATTGCTTCAATTGTAAAGTGGCAACAATCAAATCTGGTATCCTCCCCACTCCTGTGACTGTTTAACTAGGAGCTGGTGGAGACAGAGGGTACCTGGGCGTTTCTTAGTGAGCTGATCATGTCATGCTTTTTTGGAAGATGCTAGGCACATATGGTTACTTAAATTTAAGTTACTTAAGATTAAAAATCATTCATGATTCAGTTTTTAGCTCAGTCACACTAACCGCATTCCAAGTGCCTCTAACCACGTGTGACCTGTGACTAGTGCACTGCTGTCCCTGTTATCACACAGCCCTCTATTGGGCAGCACTGCAAGATAACTGATTGCAGTTTTTAAAGAGCAGTAGCCTGAGTGGTAATAGACCACGGGTTGAGTCAGGCTGACGTGGGACAAGTTATCTCCCTTTTTTTTAGTTCAATTTCCTAAATGAGGAGGTTGTTTGAAAAACCACGAGGTCAGGTCAGCAGTGATGCACAAATACTATAAGGTTCTGTTGCACAATGGATAGGAGTCACCTGGAGTCTCCCGAAAGTGTACTCATATTTCAAAAGTATCTGAATTCATAATTGCCTCTCAAGCTGCAATTCAATTTTGGTGTCTTTCAGGGGTCAGGCCCATTGGCTTCTAATAAGCAAATAAACAAACTCTAAAATGTCATTGCTGATAGAGAGTATTGTTCAATACATGAAAATACAGTGCTAAAAGATTTTTCATAATCCTTATTATCAGCCGATCTCTACTGTCATTTGAATTGTAAATATTAACGTTGCGTTGTTAGCCAA